AATTGTTCCCAAGTGACTGGAACAGGTAGGGTGGCCTGTTTGAGTTGCCACCAGTGGCCTACCTCTCCCACCAGCATGTAGGTAGAAAGAATGACTCTCTGTTCGGGAATCACTCTAAGAGTCGTGAATGTCTTCTCTGTCTCAACTAACTAATACTCGATCTCTTTAAATAAGGATCTCTCTGTAAAAGTAGATGAGTTTAGTTTTTTATACCTCTTGATGTAGTCTGGGTCCATCATGGGAGGAACTGGGTTCTGTGGAAGAGGGACTGGACTTTGCTGAAGATGGACTGGACGACCATGCGATGGTACTGGATGATATGGTAGAGGCACCGGATTGTACTGTGGTGGTGCCGAGTGATACGGTTGGGGCACTGGGCCATACTGTGGTGGTGCTGGGTGGTACTGTGACTAGGGCACCAGATCATACTATGGTGGTGTCAGGTGGTACGGTGGAGGAGCAGGATCGTACCAGGGTGGCTCGAGATCTTCTCGCTATAGGGATGACTCAACCTGTGGCAACAGGGGAGGGTAAGGTAGCTCCCTCCTTTCCTCCCGGAACTACTGGGCAGTGATGAGTCTCTCCAACATCTCAGATAACCAGTCAACATTCTCTTAAAGCAAACCCCCCCGGGCTGCTCGGTTTAGTAGGGGTCTTCCTTTCCTCATCTATCTGTACCTGTATTTCATAAGGAACGGTTGAGTGATAATTCATTATTTTTTGTGTTTCCTAAGAATTTTATGTAAGGAATGGTTCCGAGAAACGCAGCTTTGATGCCAACAGTAATGACTTCAAAAATTCAAAAGAAAATAAATTATAAATTTAGTGGAGAAGCGAAATAAATAGTTAAGGTTTACATTTCTTACACAATAGCTGAAAGTACCAAATAGGGCTTAGAAAAATAACTCTTTTAAAAAAATAATTAATAACTAAGGAAATAAATTAAAAGTAAACAACTGAACGTCCTACTTGTAATCCTCTTGTGGATCAGGCTCTGCATCTTGGTGCTCTTGATCTGAAATGGTTAATGAAATAATGAGCTATACTAGCCCACTAAGAATATCACCTTACTCACCGACACATAAATGAAGATTGGTAGAAATAATAAAAATAACAAATATAGCTATTAATTAAGCAAAATAATTTATTATAAATAAAATTATTTACTGTCTACTTACCATATCAAGATTTTTAAAAACAACCTATAGAGGCAATAACATAGCACATATTATAATTTCATATACAATCGGTTGGAACAACAATTTT